GGCCCTGCGGGGCAGGTGGGGCAGGGCAGAGTGTGGGCAGAGCAGGGGGTGAGGATGGGCCAGGGGGGTGGAGCAGGGACAGGACAGGGGGCGGTGCAGTTTTTGGGCACTCGGTCTCTAAAAGGTTCACCATCAATGCCCTATACCATTTCAGACAAATGGCTGTCCAGTCTCTTCTTTAAAACTTCCAGTGTTGGAGCATTCACAGCTTCTGGAGGCAGGTTGTTCCACTGATTAATTGTTCTGTCAGAAAATTTCTCCTTAGTTCTAGGTTGCTTCTCTCTTTGGTTAGTTTCCATCCGTTGCTTCTTGTCCTGCTTGGTAGCCAACAGATATGTCTACAGATATTTCTACAGATCATCTGACCTGTATTGTGCTGTAAAACGAATCTGTGCTTCATGAGTAAATAGCAATAGCACTTAGATTTATATACCGCTTCACAGTGCTTTACAGCCCTCTCTAAGCGGTTTACAGAGTCAGCATATTTCCCCCAACAATCTGGGTCCTCATTTTACTGACCTCAGAAGGATGGGAAGGCTGAGTAAACCTTGAGGATCGAACTCCTGGCAGTGAGCTGAATTAGCCTGCAATGCTGCATTCTAACCACTGCGCCACCATGGCTCATAGGTAAAGAGAAAAGTCTTTAATATGTAATGATAATTGGATCTGTACCCCAAGAATAGATTCAGTATCAGGATGCTTACATTATTCATAAAGATTCATAGCATTATGTGTCTATTTCTTATTGGTTCAACGTGTGCTTTTGTGTTGTATGATTAAATTTTACATTTTCACACATACAAAGGCACTTTATCCCCACATAGCTAACTAGTCACTTCTCTCTTCCAGAATGTTCTACAGCATATGGATTTATTTATTTATTTTTGCTTTGTTTCATTGTACGCAACCTGTCTGTTTAGAGATCATGGAGGGGAGCTTTTTATTGATGCCGACAAGGCAAGGCTAAATTGTAGTTCTTCGTCGGTTGCTTTCTCCTATTGCATCTTTTCAGCACCACTTTCCATAGCCAACATACCTTTCCCCACACCGCCTCCTTCCTTTTTCAGTTTCAGCTTTTCCTCTCATTTGTTTGTTAGAATTATATCCAGTCTGTCCTCCAAGAGCTCAAGGGGCTGCACGTAACTCACCTTCCTCCTTTCTCCAAGGCATAGTTGGGTTGCCCAGTCCAACAGTTTCCTTAACAATGAGACTGATGTGGGTAAAGTGTATCTCTGCTTAGTTCCCTTCTCTGAGCTTCTAACTGGTAAACATAACGAGACAAGAGAGCCAGGTATCTATGAGCCCTGTAAAGTAGTCCAGATAAGAAGCACTAACCATGAATGCTGACACTACCATTATTGTAAGATTGTATAACAGAACCTTGCAAGTCTGAAAGCTTTTGTCCCCTCCTGTACTTTTACTCACCAGAAAACTAGGGAGGGTCCTTTCTGAATGCTTTCCACGCTTGGTTTGCTTATGTGTTTATGTTTATTTAGATTTGTATACCGCTCTATCTCCCTTACGGGACTTAGGGCGGTGAACAGGCGATAATAAAATCACAATAAATATCTATTCTAAAATCAAATTAAATAAATAAAGGCCTGCTCTAAAATACCCCATATAAAAACCTATACTAAAACCTAATTAAGACTTCGCCAGGCTGGCCACATGAAATAGATGGGTTTTCAGGGCTCGGCGAAAAAGGCGCAGGTCCGCAGTTGTACGTAGGTCGGGGGGTAGGTCATTCCAGAGGGCAGGAGCTGCCACAGAGAAGGCTCTCCCCCTGGGGGTCGCCAGCCGGCATTGTCTGGCCGACGGCACCCTAAGGAGGCCCTCTCTGTGGGAGCGGACTGGTCGAAGGGAGGTATTTGGTAGGAGGCGGTCTTGCAAATAAATGTGGGCTGAGATAATAACTTTTGCATGGTAGGTGACTACTCTGTGGCTCTTCCTCCTCTCTCCCAAGGCCATTCCCACATAACTATTGCAGTATCCAATTAAGAGGTTTTTCATCACTATTAAAAGGCATCTGGGTAGAGATATCTGTTGGCTACCATCTCATTCTGAGTAGTAAATTAGCCTAATTCCATTGCAGGGCTGGGTTAAAGTAGCAGGATTTCATAGTGCCCCTCTTCTTCTACTATACAGTGCTGAGAGTTTACCATACCCCAGCTGGATCAAAACAGATCCTCACCTTTTCTTTTCTTTTTTTGGAAAAGGGAAGCAAGGCATGACAGAAGTTGGCTACTGCAGTGCTCATGGATTCCAGCTAGAGTGTAACATACGTGGCTCGGTTTCAACCATCTCCCACGTTCATCAGAGAAAGCACAGATGGCAAATGTGGCTGAATTTGATAAGAAAGGCTCTTGAGATACTCTTGTCAGAAAGCCTCTTCTTCAGCCATTCCATGCTTTTCGCTGCAGGGGTGGCTTTCTGGCTTTCATCCACTGAAGAGAATTGGCTCAGACAAGATGGCAGCAGGATCCCTTGCAGCTCTTCCTTTTGGATTCAGAGATTTGTTACAGTACCATAGCAGAAGAGAAGGTTGTAAACATTACTTCCCCTTTCATGCACGGAGAATACAATACAATTGATGTTAGGGTCAGTCTTCTACCTGGGTGTGGATTTCTCTCCGTAAGACCTTCAGTCTTGGTTCAGTTCCCAAGCCCTCGTGGAACTTTCTCTTAGTTGTTCCCAGTGCTTTTTTTGTAAAAAAAAAAAAAAGGTGCCGGAACTCACACATGTCATACAACCCGCCTTGCCTACCCTACAAGGTTCCATCCAAAAAAGGTGCCGGAACTCCGTTCTGGGCGTTCTGTGACAAAAAAAGCCCTGGTTGTTCCTCTCCCATAATAGTAATAGTAAAGTTGGAAGGGACCTTGAAGGTCATCTAGTCCAACCCCCTGCTCAGGCAGGAAACCCTATACCATTTCGGACAAATGGCTGTCCAGTCTCTTCTTAAAAACTTCCAGTGTTGGAGCATTCACCGTTTCTGGAGGCAGGTTGTTCCACTGATTAATTGTTCTAACTGTCAGGAAGTTTCTCCTTAGTTCTAGGTTGCTTCTCTCTTTGGTTAGTTTCCACCCGTTGCTTCTTGTCCTGCCTCCAGGCGCTTTGGAGAATAGCTTGACTCCCTCTTCTTTGTGGCAGCCCCTGAGATATTGGAACACTGCTATCATGTCCCCCCTCGCCCTTCTCTTCGTTAAACTAGACATACCCAATTCCAGCAGCCGTTCCTTATATGCTTTAGCCTCCAGTCCCCTAATCATCTTTGTTGCTCTTGTTAGATTACCTTGCTTTGTAATAATCCAAGTGCATCATGCACTTCCTTTTTTCATGATTTTCAAAAAGGAGCACAGCAGCAGCACAACATTGCAGGAATTCCAGGCCCACTTAGTTTGAAACTTGTTGACAATTAAGAAATCATGCAAGCCACATTGTTTTGCAGCATATATTCATGAAATACAGCTCTGATTACCTAACAGGTAATTCCCAGATCTGGTGGGAAAGACTTACTGAGTGGAAATTGTGAACCCTGAAACTTAACAGGCCTGGAGCTGATATTATGTAATTATTCTTAGTTCTGAGGAAAGACTGAAGTATAAACTCAGCTTGAAGCAGACTGGTTGCTCAGAAAGAAGTCCCACTCTTTCTTCCTTCCTTCCTTCCTTCCTTCCTTCCTTCCTTCCTTCCTTCCTTCCTTCCTTCCTTCCTTCCTTCCTTCCTTCCTTCCTTCCTTCCTTCCTTCCTTCAATTAGGAGAGGAATGCGCAGGCATAAGATAGCCATTAGTTCAAATGACAAGCTTTCAGCTTGCTGACTGATGCCTGTGTCAGCACAAACAATTGTCCACAAAAAGTGTACTTGTCTTCAGCTAAATTATATAATTGCCTGTCAAGTGGAAATTGTTAAAGGAATAAGAGATAATGGTGAAATGGGCACTGTTGTTTAAAACCGGTTTTGTTTTCTCTCCTCTTTTCCCTAAAAAGGTTCTGAACGTGCATTTTTTTAGATGTAGTTCATTCAGGAGCCCTCTCAAGGATAGCTCTACTGAACAGAGAGAGGTGCATCAGATTGCATATGCTGGAAGCAATGGGGGTGGTGGGGTGGAGATATATAGAAAAGTGTTGGGGGTGGGGAGACTCATGTATGTCATACAGCCTTCCAGTAGCTGGTAGATCTTGGCTATACTGTCATCTGCTTCAGAATAAAATTCAGCTTTGCATATGGAACTCTGGAGAGGGTGGTATATAATCCATCATTTCAGGCAGCATCTTCTTTTGTGCCAGCTCTGGATTCAGGCAGTTTGGACCACTGCTGTTTTTCCTTCATGTGCGTCATTCGGCATGGCTGCCTTCTGTGCCACCTGGACCACAGAATCCTCGGTGACACAGCAGGGGGATTTGGGTTGCATTTTCTCTTAGAATGAGAATATCCAGTTTTGAAAGCAGCTAAAAATGTCATCTGATCCTCAGCTCTGGTTCTTGTGATGAAATCATAATTTATCTTAATGGTTCACTGTGGTTATATGGTAGACAATATACAAACAATATTCTAGACTGCCCCTGTCAATGTCAATTCCAGCCCATTTGGTTTATTTATTGGATTTATGCCTTGTCTTTCTATCAGTTTACTAATCAAGGAGACAAGAAAAATAGGGAGATGAGAAAGGGATCTTCCTTCCTTCCTTCCTTCCTTCCTTCCTTCCTTCCTTCCTCCCTCCCTCCCTCCCTCCCTCCCTCCCTCCCTCCCAGTCCTTTGTAGGCTAGTCTGGCCAATATTACTCATGTCAAGTTTTGGGCTGGTCGTAAACGGAAAAATAATCTCACCTTTGTAAATCAACAATCCATTATGCGCATACATTTTCATTTATCTTTATCCTTTGCATGTTATTCCATACACTTTCCCCTATTTGTGCTAGCTCATTCTTGGGGTAGATGGAGTTACTTTACAGGTGCTCTGTCTTTTTTCTCTCCTCTGCAGTCTTGGGGACCAGTTCTACAAAGAAGCCATAGAGCACTGCCGCAGTTACAATTCCCGTCTCTGTGCTGAGCGCAGTGTTCGTCTTCCGTTCCTGGACTCACAGACTGGTGTTGCTCAGAATAACTGTTATATATGGATGGAAAAGAGGCATCGAGGACCAGGTACAAATACGGCCTGTGGGAAGCCATGTGGGTTTTCTTTACTAGGAATGTTAAAGTTCTGAGTAGCCACTTTTTGAAGGACCAGCCTAAAATGGCTGACTTGAAAGGGGGCCTTTGGTAGCCACAGAAGATGAGTAAGTCTTGGTTATTCTCCCAGTTGCATTCTCTGTCAGTGTACAGACAAATTTTGCCCCTTCCCCAACTTATATCACTTCAGTTTCTTTATTTCTGTGCAATGGAAAAGCAATACCTAGGAGAATTGACAATTCAGTAAAACGTTTATTGAACAAATCATATTTAGCAGACTTTGGATGCAATGGACCAATTTTAACTCTGGACACCTTCCCCAAATCATACACAATCTTGTGCATCAAAAGTAGTCTGGATGAAACTGTTCAGTTTATTTTCATTTATTTTTTAATGAGCAATTCATATTGTTGATGTAGTGATGTCATTACACCATCAATTTACATGATTTGTGTAACGCCATCATTACATCAACATTATAAATTGATGAATGGGATATTTTCATATTTAATAGACATTCAGCTATAATGGACACCTTTCTTTGTTTAGTTCCTTAAATCAAAAGTTTAACTGTATTAAACAGAGCTGAGAGAAAAAGACTTTTTTATGTTATTATTGAGACACCTGAGAAAAATGGAAATTATTTTTCAAAAGAAAAATCCACAAATGACCATCATATCCACTAATCCACAAATCCACTAACTATTTTGAATGACATTCAGTTTGACAAAGAGCTTGACTTGCAACTATAATGTAAAAATAAAGTGATGTATTATATGGAATTCTATGGTTTCCTCTTATTTTGTTTGTTTGTTTGTTTGTGTGTGTGTGTGTGTATAAGCAATGCAAACTGTTTCTGAGTGGGAGACAATGAGGTACAGATAACCTTGACTTCTCCCTCCTCTATTTTAAAAAGAAATTGTAATATGGGCTTTTCTGCCTTTTAATTTCCAAATGAAACATCTACTGAAGACACAGAGATATTGCTTTAGTTGCTTTGTAGTAGATTTTGAACTGAAGAATAAGAAATTAAACAATATTTGTCTACAGGCATTTGTATTTCCCTTTCTTCCACTGCATAAGAAAATTAAGAAATATGCACAGAGAAGAAGAAAGAGGAGGTGGAGTTCCTCTCTATATAAGAAATAACTACATCTCTACAGAAATAGAGCACAACTATGATGAAAACTGTCTTGAATGCATTGGGTCAATGTAAAAGGGGGAAAAAATGACATTACCATAGGTGTATACTATAGGCCACCCAACCAAACAGAGGAAATAGATGAACTTTTTGCTAGTCAGTTAAAAAACAGGTCTGCGAACAACTAGAAGCAAACAAAATTATAACTAGTAGCCAGCATGGGTTTGTTAAAAACAGATCATGCCAAACCAATCTTATTTCATTCTTTGATAAAGTGACTAAACTAATTTGTTGTTGTTAGTTGCGAAGTCGTGTCCATCGCGACCCCATGGACAATGTTCCTCCAGGCCTTCCTGTCCTCTGCCATCTTCTGGAGTCCATTTAAACTCACGCCTACTGCTTCAGTGACTCCATCCAGCCATCTCATTCTCTGTCGTCCCCTTCTTCTATTGCCCTCAATCTTTCCCAGCATTCGGCCCTTCTCCAGTGAGTCCTTCCTTCTCATTAGGTGGCCAAAGTACTTGAGTTTCAACTTCAGGATCTGGTCTTCTAAAGAGCAGTCAGAGTTGATCTCCTCTAGGACTGACCGGTTTGATCACCTTGCAGTCCAGGGGACTTGCAGGAGTCTTCTCCAGCACCGTAGTTCAAAGGCTTCAATTCTTTTGTGCTCAGCCTTTCTTATGGTCCAGACTAAATAATAGACCAGCAAAATACTGTGCAAGTAGTGTACTTAGACGTCAGTAAGACATTTGATAAAGTAGACCATAACCTACTCCTTACTAAGCTAGAAAAAAGTGGAATAGACACCACCAGATGGATCTGTAGCTGGCTGGCAAACCATGTGGCACTACATCCACATGGAGAGAAGTAAGCAGTGGAGTACCACAAGGTTCCATCTTAGGCCCAGTACTCTTCCATATCTTCATAAATTACTTAGATGAGGGAATTGAAGGGGAACTCATCAAATTTGCAGATGACAGCAAACTGGCAGGAGTACCCAACACCCCAGAAGACAAACTCAGGATCCAAAAAGATCTTGACAAATTTGAACAATGGGCCCTTTCCAACAAAATGAGTTTCAATGTGGAGAAAAGCAAAGTTTTACATTTAGGCAGGAAAAATTAAAGGTACAAGTACAGACTGGGAGAAACCTGGCTTAAAAACGGTAACTGTGAGAGGGACCTTGGAGTCCTAGTAGATGATCACTTGACCATGAGCCAGCAGTGTGCAGCAGCAGCCAAAAAAGCTAATACAACAGAGCCATAGAATCAAGATTTCGTGAAGTATTAGTAACTCTTTATAAAACCTTAGTAAGACCACACTTGGAATACTGCAGCCAATTTTGGTCATCATATCACAAAAAAGATGTTGAGAGTTTGGAAAAAAAATTCAGAGAAGAGCAACTATGATGATCAAAGGCCTGGAAACTAAAACATATGAAGAACGGCTGTGGGATTTGGGTCTGGCTAGTCTGAAGAAAAGAAAAAATAGGGGAGACATGATAGCAGTATTCCAGTACTTCAGGGGCTGCCACAAAGAAGAAGGGGTCACATTATTTACCAAAGCACCAGAGGGCAAGACAAGAAACAATGGTTGGAAACTGAACAAAGAGAGAAGCAACCTGGAATTAAGGAGAAACTTCCTGACAGTGAAGACAATTAATCAGTGGAACAGCTTGCGTCCAGAAATCGTGGGTGCTTCATCACTGGAGATTTTTAAGAAGAGTCTAGACAGTCACTTGTCTGAGATGGTATAGGTTCTCTTGCTTGAGCAGGGGGCTGGACTAGAAGACCTCCAAGGTCCCTTCCAGCTCTATTCTATTCTAAACTAAGGTATGTAGGAAGCACATCACAATAGTAATTGGGGATTTTAATTACCCTGACATCAACTGGGAGACAAACTCTGCACCAAGTGGAAGATCAAACAGATTCCTGACAAACCTAGTAGACAACTTTGTTTCCCAAAAAGTAGAGAGGGGAACTAGGGGATCAGCCATATTGGACCTAATTCTCACTAACAGAGATGAAATGATAGAGGGTGTTGAAGCCACAGGAACTGTGGGAGGGGAGTGATCATGCAATATTGGAATTCAACATTATGCAAGCATAAGCAATAGAACACAGTCAAACTAGAGTCTTGGACTTTAAGAGAGCTAATTTCAATAAACTTAGAAAGAGCTTGGGAAGGATTCCATGGATGAAAAATCCTCAAGGGGAAAACAACTCAAGAAGCTTGGGAAATTTTGAAAATGAGATTATAAAAGCCCAGTCTAGCTAAATACCAACGAAGAAGAAAAATAACAGCTCTCAAAAGAAATCAGCATGGCTGCATAAAGAACTCTCTGATACGTTGAAAGACAAAAAGGACAAGTATAAAAAGTGGAAAGAGGGGCACATAACTAAGGCAGAATATCAGCAAATAGCCCGAGCCTGCAAAGATGAAGTGAGGAAAGCTAAGGCTCAAAATGAACTAAGGCTTAAGGAAATGATTGATCCATTAGTGGGAGAGAGTGGAAAGAAGGTGACAAGCAACAGGGAGAAAGCAGAACTATTTAATTTGTTTTTTGCATCCGTCTTTACACAAAGGGAAAAAACAGTCCAACCTACCAAAAATAGTACTGTAAAAAACAGATTAGAAACACAAGTTAAGATAGGCAAGAAAGTGGTAAGTGAGCACCTGTCCATCCTAGACAAGTTCAAATCACCAGGACCAGATGGATTACACCCAGAGTTCTGAAGGAACTGGCAGATGTGATCTCAGAACCACTGAACTATATCTTTCAAAGATCCTGGAGCACTGGGAAACTACCAGAGGACTAGAAAAGAGCTGATGTAGTTCCCATCTTCAAAAGAGAGAAAAAAATGGATCCAGGAAACTACAGACCTATCAGCCTGACCTCAATACCTGGGAAGATTCTGGAAAAGATAATCAAACAATGAATCAGTGAACATCTAAAGGCAAACAAAGCCATTATCAAAAGCCAACATGGGTTTATCAAAAATAGATCATGCCAGATAAATCTTATTGCATTCTTTGACCAGGTGACAAAATTAGTGGACCAGAGGAATGCTGTGGATATAATTTACTTGGACTTCAGTAAGGCATTTGATAAAGTAGATCACAACCTACTACTTGAAAAGATAGAAAAATGTGGGTTAGACAGCATCACCACCAGATGGATTCGTAGCTGGCTGACTGGCCATACTCAGTGTGTAGTCCTCATTGGATCTGCATCTACTTGGAGGGAAGTGTGTAGTGGGGTGCCCCAGGGCTCTGTTCTGGGCCCAGTGCTCTTCAACATCTTCATCAGTGATTTGGATGAGGAGATAGATGGGGAACTCATCAAATTTGCAGACGACACCAAGCTGGCAGAAATAGCCAACACTCAGAAGATAGGCTTAAGATACAGAAGGATCTTGACAAACTTGAACATTGGTCACTATCTAACAAAATGAAATTCAGTGGTGAAAGTTCTACATTTAGGCAAGAAAAACCAAATGCATAGGTATAGTATAGGTGGCACCTTGCTCAATAGTAGTAACTGTGAGAGGGATCTCAGAGTCCTAGTTGACAATCACAATCAATTTGACAATATGACAATTGACAATCAATATGAGCCAGCAGTTTGCTGTAGCTGCCAAAAAAGTCAACACAGTGCTAGGCTGCATTAACAAAGGGATAGAATCAAGATCACGTGAAGTATTAATACCCCTTTACAATGCTTTGGTAAGGGCACACTTGGAATATTGCATCCAGTTTTTGTCACCATGATGTAAAAAAGATGTTGGCACTCTAGAAAGAGTACAGAGAAGAGCAACAAAGATGATTGGGA